CCTGCGGGCCGCGGGGCTTGCTCAGGACCGGTGCTCGTCGCCCGAGGCGCTGGGCACCGCAGCCGCGTCGTCGAGGCCCAGCAGCGTCCCCAGGTAAGACTGCTCGCCCGGGTCCAGCATCTGCTCGGGCCGCACCGGGTGGACTATGTTTGCGGGCTGAGGCGTCAGGGTGTATTTTTCCAGAAAAGCCAAGTCGGCCGCTCGGGGGTACTCAGCGGACGGTGGCTGGGGCGACAAGATCTCGTGAGAAGGTGGCGGGAGGGTGGTCGTGTGACGCACCAGGTCACTCTGGGAGTCGGGCATCTGAACGGGCACCAGCGTGACGGGCACGCACACCTCGGCGGACACGTTCTGTAGCATCGTCTTGGCTCCCGACGGATAGGCTTTGGGCCGGTCCAGGTACTGTTTCGTGTCTGCTTGAAAGAGTTTGTCATCGGACGAGTACTCTACGGGCAAGGCCACCAGTTTTTCCTCGGAAGTGCTCAGAGGGTCGTCGGGAGATTTTATGCCGTGGACGTGGTCGGTGTGGTACTTGAGCTTGTCCTTGCGCTTAAACGTCGCATTACAGTGCTGGCAGTTGAAAGGCCGGGCATCGGAATGAATCACCAGGTGTTTTGTTAAGGTCTTCTTAATTCTAAAAGACTGATTGCAGATTTGACACTTGTATGGTTTTTCACCTGCACGAACAAAAATGAAATTAGGCATAAAATGCACTCGCTTGGCAAGACAAGGGTCTGAAGGAACAAATTCTGAACACTCGCGAAATGTCAGGAAAGCAGCAATAGTAGCGTGTGCTATCAGAAAACAATAAGCTGGTCCAGACAAGGGCCCCCAGCGTGAAAGGATCCGGGGTGAATTCTGGCCCCACAGCTCGCTAGCCACCCTGAGTAGGCCACCCGGCCTCTGAGCATCGTTTGTCACCTGTAACCAGGAGTGACGACGGTGCTGCCCTCAAGGACCCGGTGACTGACCGAGCGGGAACACGGAGCAAGTGCTCACGCTGCCCTGGCACACGGGCCTGATCACCTCGGCTGCTGTCACCACGGCCGGCTTTGATTCCCGCTGCAGCCTCGCCCTACGTACCCCACAAATTAGGGCTTTTTCCCTTGGAGGGAGGCGTAACTTTGTTTATAACAGCACCGCTGCATCAGCGACACATCCTTTACTGCAAGTCTTTGCTACTGAAATGGCCCAAATCTAGTTATTTCTCATTTTGATATTTATAAAACCAATTAGTTTTCTCTTCCAGAAGAGCAGCTTGACAAAATCCAGGCTAAATTTACAACAAAGCAGCCGAAGATGCATACGTGAGTTTCTTTCTTCAAAAGGAAAAAGGAAAGCTTTCAAAATGAATTGGTCCAACAAGGACTATGACGACACATAGAAAAGAACCCGACATAGTCTCAACTTCCAAATACGGGAGCATCACCAAGCGGGGAGAAAACATGCAGAAAAGGGCGATGCTGGCAGGCAGCCGAGATGACTCGCTCTGTGGAAACTGCCCCTCACGACGACGGACAGTGGGAAAAGGACACTCTGACTGGAGCCTCGGCGAGCAAGACGACGGGTCCTATTTGAATTCCTCTTTTCAAAGAAAATAAAGGTCTTCGCGGAGTTTCACAGATAGAGAGGAACCACAAACCACCAGGAAAGAGGAAGATGAAAGCTAAAAGTTGAATGAACCCTCAATGGAAAACGTTTCCCCCAAACGGTACAAAATGATATTCGAAAGTGTAGAAGCTCACGGAACAGAGAACAGAAGACCAGACTATTGCTCATTGCGACAGCAACTTTCCCTTAACGAGTAAAAATCTTAATTGGGGAAAAAACAAAACAATTTAACCAAGAACATAGTTCGAATGTCCATATTTCACTGCTGAAAAATTACGCAAAAATACATATAAACTACTCATTACGTTTTACCTGAATGTGTCCGAAAATGCATTTCGAGACTTGACTTGCCTTTAAAAATCTTCTTACAAACATCACATTGATGAAAGGTTGCTTTATACCTAAAAAAACAAAAGGTTTGAGTTTTTCAGCGAAGTTTTAATAAATAACATACCACAAATCAAAGTATAATGACTGACGTCTCAGGAAAAGCACCTGTGAGACTGAATGGAAGAAATACCATTTTACTTGAAAGAATCAGGACAAACTATAGTTACAGACCCGAGTATCTGGCAGATAGTTTCTCAAAAATTACATGAAGGGAGCCTGTCACTTCTAAGGGGAAAAAAAAACCTGACACTATTTGTCATCGATGATAAATTTGAGCTTTTAAGCTCACGTGAGAATTCTGGAAGGCTTGCATCTGCCCCTGTGATCCTGACCGTGTCTCGACAGGCCCTTCCAGATCGGCTGGTCCCGCCCTGTGCAATACGCTACCATCCGACAGACCTGCAGAGCTCAGTGAAGCCGCACCTTCCAAATGGCCAATGAGTGACGCTTCGGTTTCATGCGGAGGTGAAGTGCCCGTCCATGGGACAAGACAGACCGAGACACTGAACGTGACGGAAAACGTCATTAACCTTGTTTCGGAGGCCACCTTCCGCTGCCCTTCAGAACCTACCACCAGTTTAATTTAGTGTCGCAGTAAAGAACAACCCCCACGATTTACCTACACATCTGAGTGAGGCTAGATTTTCTTCATTTACTTCGACCAAAATAACACATGACAGCAGGTGTGGCTATCCGGCTATTAGGCCATTCAAGAGATTTACAAAAATGCAAAACAATGCCACTCTTTCAATAGTGTTTTGGTTTGTTTTGTAGCTATTTTTCACAAAACTGCTCTTCACGCTAGCATGTGATGAGCGTATTATTCTAAACAAGGAAGTAAGTAGTTAAGTTTTTTTCTCATTTTAATTTTTAATGACATAATTTAAACAACAATGTAATTTTCATACCGCAAGTGATATACACAAAAGCTCCTAAAGTACTGAATAATCTTTAGGGGTATAAAGGGGTTGAGAAAAAGCTACAGGATTCCTGGACTGAGTGAGTCGGCAATTCTGTGCCCCCAGGCCTACCCACGTCGAGGCTCTTACACCCCGTCTACGTGACGCCGTGTGTTCCCGTGTCCCCGAGCTTAGCAGCGTCCCCGGCGTGTAGTGAACACCGGAGCGCAGTGAGCACCACGCACGCGTCGATTCGGGGAGGGCCCCACTGAACGGAATCGCCTTGCTGGATCCCTTGAGGCCCCCGAGACCCTGTCCCCAGACCGCGAGGCACGGCGTCCCCTGCGGCCTGGGCTTGTGCTCCGCGGTGACGATGACGCGCTCACTTTCCCACTTACTTCTGCCACACTTTCTCCCCCAGGTGCACGCTTCTGTAGTGGACGGTCAGGTGATCCCTGCGGCCGAAACACTTCCCACATTCTTCACACTGATGAGCCTTTTCACCTTAAAGACGCAAACATTTTGATGAGACTATGCATTTCGGTTCCCGCCCACCTCGGAAGCAAATGCTTGAACAAGAACATGACGTGAAACATGGCAGGAAAGCAAAGCCGCCTCTGCTCTGGGCTCCCTGCTTTATACTCCTCGCTCAAACACCTCTCCTCTGCGCATCTCCGCTTCTCCCCAAAGCCACCTCGGGAGGCTTTGCTTCAGAGTTCGCATCTTACCTTCCAACGTGACAGAGCGAAATACATGCCATCACCTCAAAACCCACGTAAGTCTAGATGTCCAACACCTCAAATGATGCACAGCGAATCGTGGTGAGGCTGTCTTACTGTTTATAGAAAGGGCCTGAACATTTTCAGATGTCTGTACTTTACTTTTAAAAGACTTTTCAACTGTGGGGACTGCTTACATTTGTAATGAGCCAAAATTCGAATATAAAGGGAAATTCTAGGTTAGTCCAATTCGTCATCTCTGTTCTTATTTATCCAGGTACAAAGATTTGGTCTCTAAAAAAATCACTTTCTTAACGCCAGCGTGCAATTAAACCACGTGGCCTCTAGAATAAGGAACTTAGAATTCTCCACCTGAAAAATGAACACGTATGATTCCAGTGAAAAAGTCGTAAGACCTTAAACATCTCTTTAAAATGGTAACAGCAACTCAACCCACCTCACTGAGATCATTTAAAATGATCCCTATCCGCTGCATACTTTGCATCTAAATCGTGTTTATAGTAATAATAATAACCACACGTCCTACTGTGCTCACACGGCTGGTGCCAAGCACTTCCTGAGCATCAGTCTGAGACGACAATACGAAAGAAGTCCCCAGAATATACGAGTTATCAATACAGCATAAAGATCTGAAACTGACCAGGATTGTAAGGTAATCTTTTCTAGAGTTTCTCAAATCACTGTGACATAAACTTTAACATCCAGTTACAATCATTTCTCTTCAAATATCTAAGTTTTGCTAACTTCTTTCAAATCCAATCAAAATGATCAATATTATCTTGGCTTCTCCCTTTAGGGAGGTGCCGGGAGAAATTCCTGCACACATCCTCAATAATATGCAAGATGCAAATTCTGAAAATTAAAATAATTGCTAATTTTGAGAATTAAAACAATTTAAAAATATAGTTTGTAGTCATAAAGGGCAACCGAATGCTTAAAATTACAGTGAACAAAACCATGTCATAAACTTAAGCCCCTTTCAGATGCCTTTTTAAAAATGTTTGTAGAATCAGCATTACAAAGGGGTGACCGCCATATGCCAAATTATCAAAATTATAGCCAACATAAATATGATGTGGTGTGGTGTGTCCTTTTCAGGTGCTTTCTTTTTAAAAAAAAAAAAATGGAATTTTGGAAACATTCTTATGTACGAAACACGCCTTACCTGAATGTATCTTTTTGTGCTTCGTGAGGTGGTCGTGACGGATAAACGTTTTCCCACATTCATCGCATTCGTATCTTTTATCGTCATGATGCACTCGTAGGTGAAGCCTATAAAGAAAGACCATTGCAGAACACTGAAAATCGCGACACGGAAGGAAAAAACTTAACCACGAATAACGAAAACTGGGCTGTTCGCTCGACCGGCCTCATTCGTTCTGGGCGCCAGGGCTGTGACCCTCCGAGGCCTCCGGCTCTCACTGCCTGTCCCCAGCTCCGACTCGCCTTGTTCACAAGAGCGCTTCACGTCCGCACACGCCACACCCATGGACGACACTGACCTTCGGACCCTGAATCCTCCTTACTGAACCGACCAAGCGTCTGTGGTCAGGTCCACCTGACCAGGGGCGTCTCCGAAGTCAAAGGTAGGAATGAACCCGGAAGGGATCGTAACCAGGCAAACGGGTAAGTGCACGAGTGACGCGCGTACGACGGTGGCAGCCGACACAGTGACCGATGAAGGCCGAATCCTTCGGGCCAACCGATGCCGCTTATAAACTGATAGCTGGGAATCTGGTAACTTTGTAAGTAATCAACTTTCTGACAATCCCATTTCACTTACACTAACCAAACAAAATATGGCTCGTTTTTTGTTACCCAGGAACGGATTATAAAAGGTTTAAACTATTAAAATTAATTTAACTTGAATTGTTTCTATGCCCACAGCCCTCCCTCTGTGTAAACCTTTCAAGGTGCCCGAACAGGTGTTGATTCTACATCTAAACTGGTAACCAAGAAGACCACGTGCAAAAGGGAAACGTCCTGTTTAAACTGAAAAAGAGGTAAAAACCAATGAAAGGGTAGAGAGCGAAACCTTAAGAGTGACATTCTTAAGAGCATCGATAAAAAGTAAAATTGTACAGTTATGTCACAGTAGATCGTCACCTGTTATTCATTCAGGAAGAAAACAACTTTTCAGAAATTGCAAATGTGGTCAGGGATTCAGGAATAATAATAATTAAATCAATTTCAAATAATGAACAGAAGACTTTCTAAAACTGAGAATCCCGGAGTTTTTGACTTTGCCATATTTTTATACCAAACTATTTTTTGATAAGAGTGAAGAAACACATTAATTTTGGAACGCCAGAGTTATAATGAATTCCGATTCAAAGTAAAGTAATGAAATACTTTTTATAGGATGACAGTTGAGACAGTAGAGCACTTGGCAAACCTGGTGATGAGAAAATATTTAATATTTTATACCACAGAATGAAGATGATGTTAATGGTTATAATGCGGGGGGACAGTCTATAGTTTTTTGTACCACTTTGCTGATCGTAAGTGCTAAGAAATGTCTTCATTCAACAAACAAAGGGCTGATAAGAGAATAGAATCAAAATGGAGATATAATTTTATGTTACTTAACATAAGGCAAACGTGGCTTGACTCACCTGTATGAGCTTCCGTGACGAAAGCTTTGCCCACAAATACTACAAAGATGAGGCTTCTCTCCGCTGTGGATTCTCAAGTGTTCTTTCAAAGTAGTTCTATGTTAAAAACACATACGTTTAAACTAAAGATTTTTTAATGCCAATGTATATATTAAACACGGTTTCCCAAAGAGCCCACGACAAAGGTGTCCAAGCTAACAGTCATTGTGACCATTCTCCCCGCTGCTCCGAGGACAGTCTCACTCACCAACATGCTCGTTTTGTATTGTCCCTTAAAAAAATGAAATGAAATGAAAATTTTTAACTTTGGCTTCCTTGGCTACTGGTTTGCTCGAAGGTTCAACTCTCTAGTTTAAGCAGACTTCCAAGAAGTACAGATAAAAAACATTCGACTGTCACTACTGAATTAGGTAACAGTGACGTGGATTTTGACGGGGCGAGTACAGGATACAGGGAATCCAGCCTCTCCGTCCTGAGCCTTTCGAACACGTCCTCAATACTCGGTAAAAGAATGCTCCACGGTACAGGGGACGTTACAGGCACCTGGAACCTCCAGAGGCCGCTGTGAAAATGGGCGACCGTGGAGGGCACAACTACTGCTACTCCTGACCCTCCCGGAGGGGCCTCTGGTGACCACTGCTGGTCCAAAGACATCACGAGCATGGCCACGAGCTCCAACGCTCAGAGACCCCCCACACTGGTGCAGGGCCGACAAGGCTCTTTATGGGGAAAGGCAGTACCACGACCTTTGCAGGCTCACTAGTAACTTCCTCGCCGGGAGCCAGGAGCCAGGAGCCAGGAGCCAGTCAACCCCAGTGCCCAGGGAGCTGCAGTGAAGGCAGCTCTCGGCCAGCAGATGGCGCTCCCCTACAAGGCCACCGGCACCGCACAGGCGAGTCTGCGGGCACCCCCAGCTTTGTGGGAAACAGTCCCCAAACTATTCCTAGACCCCAACCTGCTAAGGGACGGAAAGCAAAAGGATGGAAAGGTTGTTGTGGTTTTGGTTTGTTTGCTTTCTGTTTTTACAAAAAGATCTTTAAGGATAAACGAGAGTTTATGATACATAAAATAACCTTTGTAATTTATCGATCTGTAAATACAAATTTCCACATAAATATAGCATACTGGTTTTCCTCTTCTGCACCATATCCATCTGTTATTTTAGGAAGGTGGCATTCTGACTTTTTAAATTATGAAACGTTAACACAGGGGAGCATGACACGTACGCACTCTGCTTAGAGAACAGCAACGAACACCTGCAGAACGCTACTCTCCCCGGCCCTCCTCCGCCCCCGCCCCCGGAAATCCCCGCTCCCGGGGCACGCTCCCTCCGGGTCGTTCTGCCACCCAGCCAGTGCATGTCACTACGACGCTTGGCGTATGTTCTCGCGAGCCTGAGTAGCAAGCAATAACCTAACGATGCCGCCACTTTTAGGTAAAGGGCCCACGAGGTAACGTGAACAGGGTCTGGACCGAAGTCTGGCGGCGGTGTCCCGGCCGTCAGCAGGTCGGCGGTAAAGTCACAGAGAAGCCGTGGGAAACGGGGTTCGTCCCCGTCGGAGCCGCTGACAGGCTGGGGTGGACCAGGTACTGAAGTCCGGCAGAAATGTGAGCCAAAGAGCGGGCTGCTCTATGGATCCTGCTTCCGAGCGTTTCATGACCCGCCTCCAATTCTCATGGCTACGTCAGAACAGAACGTTTCTATGACATCAAACGGATGTGCTCAGTCAGAGCAAACAGCCGGGCACGAGGGTGACAGCTGGAAGCTGGCCGGCAGCATCGGGGCGGCGGGCGGGCGGGAATCTGGGTCAGGAGGGGACACGGGGAGCTGCCGTTCCGTGGGTGTCGAGTTTCCGTTGTGCGAGACGAGCAGGTTAGAGACGTGGATGGCACGTCCCTGTAATGAACGGCAGGGGATTGTGCAACCGCACGCTTGTCACGTTAAACGTTTTTACTACAGTTAAAAAAAAAAAAAACCCGAACGTGTTTGGGGTGCACCCTCTCTGCACTGTCTCCTAGTTAAAGGGGAAACGTGCCAGCAGGGACCGGAGCAGTGACAACCCTCGACGTGTCACAGGTCACTACCGCGGGGCACGGACTGGCCGTCACGCACGCGCGCTGCACATCGGACATCGCGGGGTCTCCAGCCCCCTCGTGCCGTGCCCCCCTCTGCCGCTTTCCCGTGTTAGCCCTCCTGCTCCCGGGAGCTTTCCCGTCGTCTTTAAGTTTAGTGCCTCGTTCTGGTGAAGCGCACCCTTCGGCTGCTGCAGGAGAAAGGGTACGTAAAAGGCTAATTTCCTGACGTCGTGAAAAATGTCTATTATCCTCAGACTTGACTGTTAGTTTGACTAAGAACAGAATTCTAGGTTGGAAATCAGTGTCTATCAGAATTTTGAAGGGACAACGGCATCATCTTACTTCTAGTGTTGCCGTTTAAAATCCCAGGAATCCTAATTTCTCATTCAGTGTATGTGACTTTTTCCCTAGGAAAAAAACAGAAGTATACAGAAGCTTCTGTTTGCCGCCCCTCGCCCCCTGTTCTAAAATGTCACGGCGACGTGCCTTGTCACGATGTGTTCATTGCCGCGTGCTGTCCCAGGCGTCTGATGGACCCTGTCTGTGTGTGGACTTGCGTCCTTCCGTCTGGGGAAATCATCCTGAATTATTTCGATGGTAACGTTCCCCCCGGCGTTTCCTCTGTTCGTTCTCTCTGGACCTCGCACCTCGCCCTCTGACGCGCTGATCTTTATTTCCCGGGTCTGTATCTTTTGCTCCGCATTTTGGGAGAATTCGTCATCTCCGCCCTCCCACCCTCTGCTCGGTCCGTCGGCGCTGGGCGTCTGGGATCTCTGGGTTATGGTCAGCGCCTCTTTTATAGGACGTCCTGTTCCTGTTTAATGAATTCTACATCTTTAACTGGGGATAGTAAGAATCATTGACTTCTTTTCCTTGCATGATGTTTCGGGTTTCGTTTTTTTGTTGTTTTTGTTTTATCTGTTTGTGTTGGACTCTGTCTTCCGTTAAAGGTTTTCCCCTTGTGTGTTATAATTCTTCAGTATCTGTTCATGATTATTTGTGTCAGGCTGACAACTGGGTGGGAAGGGCAGAGCGTGGCTGGGCTTTGATGGCGAGGTGGCCTGGGTGTGCTACTTGGTAGGGAATATATTTGCCTTCAGGTTGCTTAGATGTTCAGGGAGTTGTTTTCTAATCTGTTAGCCGGAGGATAAAGTCTAAGAGTCAAGATGTCAGCAGGGATAAGGGCCAGGCTCGCTGCTTCCGCATACTCGGTCCGGCAACGCCGCTGGCTGCTCTGGTCCAGGCATCCGCCAAGGTGGGGGAGGGGAGGGGCCGGCAGCAACGGCCTGATGGGCACGGGAGAGAATGCAACGGTCCCACTCCTGAAGCCATTGTCCTCTGCGGCTCCTGCCCCTGCCCTCCACCCTGGCTCCGGAGGGACAGCACTGCCAGCTCCGTACTCGTGGCGGACTCTGCGACACGAACGAGGTTCGGTTCTGGATCTCTCTGCTGCCACTCCTGGGCTTGTTTTTCTCCGACCTGCTAACTCAGGTACCGCGGCCCGTCAGCGCTCCAGCTCCCACACCCGTGCTGTGCTTCTCGCCTTCCCACTCGCCTTGTCTTTGTAGCTTAGTGTCTTTAAAATGAACACGTGAATGATTTAATGTATTTTCAGTGGGATTTCGGAAAGAGACAACATGGTATCAGTTACACTCGGCATCCACACCTGTCAATCCTGACCCCATATCCTCTGCTGGAGCATTTTAAGTAACTTCTTCTATCTTTAAATTTCAAATCAAAACGTTATTTCTACACGACAGTACCGGGATTTTTCTGGGTGTGTGGACAGCCCCTCACCTCTCCCGTACAGATTTTCCACAGATGAAGCACGTCCACTTCCTCTTCCCACCGTGGGTGCATTCTATGTGGCGTTTCAAATTCCCGGTGTCGTTAAACTGGCGACCACAGATGTCACATGGAAAAGGACCTAAAAAGGAGAAAAGAGTGTGCACTTAAAGTCGAAGGTTAAGCTTAACAGGGAGTGTGAGATCGCGAAGTGGCGGGTCGCCCGGGGACCTCCTCCCAGCCGCTGGCTGAAGTCGGGGGCGGAGTCACGGGCCTGAGACCCGACGCGGACGGGGTGACGCTGTCGCCAGGTGGAAGGTTACAGCTGAGTTCGACTGCGGGACACCCAGCTGGGGTCAGAGCCTTGCTCGTTGTTGGGGGGCAAAGCCCTGCACATTTGGTGACCAGACGTCTCAGAAACGACGTGCTCTGTGTAGCAAAGGAACCTCACAGAGAGGACAGACGCGGAACCACTGGGTTTTCCGTGCACAGGAGGCTGAACTTACGGTGTGTTAGAAATGCACGCCTACTTCACTAGTGCACATATAATAACGCGCGCCGTTGTTTTTAGTTCTCTCTCCCTTCCTAGACTGTTTACTACGGGAAAGGAGACTTTGTCTCCTTTCATCTCTGTCTCCTTCGAGCTGAGCATAAGGCCTGGCATCTGACATAATAAATGCGGATAAACCAGTGAGTGAACAAACTGAGATGCTCAGTCCCCATTCCGAAATCGGACTGGACCCAAGCAGACAATGCGACAAGAGAAATTCCTGGGAGGGGAAAGGAAGGAGACACTCTGGAAGGACAGACGGGACTTAGGAGAGCCCATGGTTTGGAAACGCGCTGTTCAGGGAAGCCGTATACTTGGACGAGGATGTCTCGGAATGTGGAAACGTAAACCAGAACAGGCATTCTTCATGAAAAACCGATGACGACAGCACAGCGCCAAGAAACGGCCTGGGGACACACCTGGAAATCTGAAACGTGTCCCCACGCACCACAGCTCGGGGCCGCGTCACTGGGAAGGACTCCTGACGTGCTCCCCGCGTCAGAAATGAGACGGCCTCGGGGTGCGCACTGCGTCAGCGCCCGGACCACGCTCTCGTGCGAGCGCGCGACCCTGCATCTTCCACGGGATCCGCCTCCCATTCGGTTATTAACTCATCCAGCGAGTATTTATTTATCGGCTCTTAACGCATTGCTGGCGCTGTGGCGCTCAAGGCTATGAAAAATCCCCCCGCCTCCTCCCACACCTCCCTTGCCCCCAAAAAGGCTCCCAGAAGTTGGGAAAGGGAGCGTCAGCACTTCGCACAGATGAAGGTCAGGAGATGAGGCAAGGACGGTGCCGCGGCGGGCAGCTGATGGGACGTGTGGCAGGTGAGGGCCACAGTCTGCGGGGAGGCGGTGTGCCTGGGCATGACCACCGACCCCTGCAGGCTCCGCGGGGGGGACAAAGGGACATTCTCGCTCCCCGCCACTCACTCTCCGGAGCAAAGGCCAGCTACATTTCCCTTCCCACCGCGGACACCCAGTCGGGCAGCGAAGCCTCCTTGAACGTCCACGTGTGCCCGTGAGCTGGGAGCTCAAACCGAAGCGATTTCCATGCCAACTCTCCAGACAGGACAGGACTAGATGTCACTTCTAAAGCCAGACCGTAACTTCGACATTGATCAACTGACATGTACTGAGACTTCTCTTCCCCTAACTGTTCAGACTGCATTTCTTAGCTCGCTCTCTGATCGCGGACGACGTCACCCCGACACAAGTGGCGTGAGCCGGACACAGGCTGGCCTGACCGGGAATGCTCAGGTATGCGCAGCTGCACCGCCAGCGTCGGCGTCTCCTGGGAACTTGTTAGAAACGCAAATCCGTGGGCCTCGCCCCAGACCGGAATCGATTACGAACGTGTACGGGGTGGTTCAGGGAACAGAGGGACCCGGATGGGGTCTAAGGAAGCTGCACAGATTTACACATACATGTAACATACATGTGATACGCACACATGTATATAACATACTCAAAGCAATGTTCTATTTGGTATGTTTTTTTCATAAATAACGGTGGCCAAAAATGCAAAGCTACTGTATTAATTCACAAATCATGTTTCCCAAAAGTTTGGAAATGTTAACTGGATACTAGGAATGGACTGTGTCACGCTACACCTACTGAACTCGTCTAGTGAACGTCAATCAACGCTCACTAAAGAGGATGCAAATGAACCACTTCTCCGATATCTGAGTGGGCCTGGCACTACGACGTGATGATTCGTTTACTGGTCTGACGGCCCACCGGACTGTGATTTCATCTGGCACTTCGTCTAGCAGGGGCAGTGTCCCCAGACGCTGACAGAGCTGATCATGTAGTTACCAGCTGTTCGATAAATATTCCAACACTTAAAAAATTTCTAAATTTTTTAGAAACTAAAATTGTATCTTAGACTTTCCGCTCAATGTCTTGGAATGCCTATTTATTTACTAAACGACGTGTTTAATAAAAGTTGAAACGGAAAAAGGAAGTGGCAACAAAAAGAGGTAACCTATGGTTTTCATGTCAAGAGCAGCTCACCAATTCCCCAACGGAAGCTGTTTTTCTTGGAACTAATGTCTAAAGAAATTTCTCACCTGCAGCGTGGAATCATGAACATGCCCCCGACTCTGTTCTTACAGGATTTTGTGTGATAATAATAACATGTAACAAACACGTATAATAGTAACGGTAAAACCCGTTTCCATGTGATGGCTTCTCAGAAGTGGCGAGATGAAATACCACGACAGGACGACCTACTAAATTCAGAGGTTCAGGCAAAATAGAAAAGTAATCTAGCACACGCTAGTCTTATACACTAGACTCGCAGACTAAGTATTTCTTATTACACGATGGAGCCTTGCGAGCCTCGAAGACAACTATCCTATCTCCCTTCCCAGACAAAATATTTCAAGGAACTTCAAAAGTTTCTTCCATGAAATGATTTTAAGACCCTACGTCACCAAAACTGCCCACCTCTAGAATGTCTATTTGTCACTATCCACCTTGAAGGTTTCCAGAAATGGATGCAATATTCCAGATCGATTTAGGATCGGTGAGACGATTACCCCCTAACAACACGTCTTTATTAACATAGTCCAAAACGACATTGGTTTTTGTCGGTTATATGACGTTGTTGGTTCAGATTATGCCGCAAGAGCCTCTGCTGTTTGGCCCATTTGCAAAATGACGAGTTTGGTTCGGCACCATTTTTTACTCCCCGGTGACTAAACGTCAGATCGTCCCCACATTCACTTGTATTTATTCCTAACCAAACTTAATGGAACCCGTTTTAACCTTTCGCACAGCAGAGTTGTCTTTTTCCATTTATATTTAACTGTCATAAGTGTCCCCAACTGCATCGCCATCGAGAGCACGAGCCTCCACCTTGGTTGTAAGCATTAGGGAGAGAACTCACCAAATATAACACTCAATTCCAAATACGCTAAGTTTATCACTCCTTGAAAAATGAGTTTCTTCCCAAAATCAAAATGCTACATCCCAAGCGCCCACAAACCTCTCTGATCATCAGCTGCGGTTTACGACCACACACACGTCTGCCCCCCCCGAAATCAGACACAGACCAACAGAAGCAACCGCGAAGGCCTCTTCGCTTACCCAGGTGGAACTTTTCTTGATGCTTTAAGCGTGCGAATCGCGACTTGAAGTGCTCTTCACAATAGGTGCACTTAAAAGGTTTGTCTTGCGAGTGCAAAATCATGTGCTCCTCCAGGTGTGGTCTTCGGGTAAAAGACTTCTTGCAAATCTAAAAGAAAATGCACACGAAAACACGTACGGAAACCTGAAATTACAGACTGAAATCCAGAGCTCAGGATGAGAGAGGAGCCCACAGACTCAAGCAGCGAAAAAGGATGGGGCTGAGCGAGGCTTCCGGTTCCTGCCTCGGCTTCTTGGAGCCTCACGGCCACAAGGAAACTCGTGTGGCCCCATGAAGGGACCAAAGTGAGACTCGGGGCCCCCAGCCAACCGTCCCGGCTGAGCGCCAAGCGGCCGGCCGTGGCAGTGAGCCACGCTGGGAGTGTCCTCAGACCGTCAGACCAGACCATCCACAGGCTGACAACACCTGAGCAACTTCGACAGAAACCACGTGGAACGGAAGAATTACCTAGCAAAGCCCTGGCCCAAGCTGAGGTCGCTGACTCACAAACGCCGATACAACAAAACGATTGTTTGAGGCCACAGGTCTTGCGGTGGTTTGTTAGTTACATAGCCACAGATAACCAGAAATGCAGGAGCAATTCTGCACTCTGCGGAAAAGTAACGTCACAGTCTCTGTACGCAACTCTACACCCCCGGCATGGTGATGACAGCAAAAATCAAAACCTCATCTAAAAATCAACCCATACCAGCCTTCCTTGACAAAAACATTAGAATAATATTGCATGAAAGAAAGATCTAAAAGTGAGCTCAGCTACGTTTATGTTACTGTAAAATCTAATTACTTTCCCAAAAGGCACCATTACATTTGGTTCGGTTTTCTACCGTGAATTAAAAGTTCTTACATCACATTTCCAACTTTCACTCTTAGTCTTCTTAATGGAAATAAATTCTTGGGCATTTTCAGGATGGAATCTGCAAGAGAAAAATAAAAAGGTTCTATCAGTTAACATTCCAGATCATCTGTCGACAGTGATTATGAGAAGCAGGCACTGGTTCCTCACGGAGACAGACACGTGTGAGTCCTCAGACAATACACATCGCGACATCGCGTTCACAAATGAATGTGCAGGCTAAAATTTATGCAGAAATAGTCAAAGAAAAGTCTAAACATATTTTAGATCCATTCAAGGACCCAGCTATTCACAGATAATCTTCAAGGTAACTCAATTTTCTTTCAGTCCAGATTTCAGTAAATTTAATTGCTTAGATTTAAATAGGCAAACTGTACTAAATAATTCTTTCTCTCACGAATTTTTATTTTATAAACAAAAGACAAACTTGAGCACGAGCAGTAAGTTTCCCAGGGTCCTAAAACCACATTTTTTGAAAAGATACTTGCCAAAACCCAACACACAAACAAACCAGGATAACCAAATGCTGCATCCTACATTTCCACAGTACAGATGGAGGATCTTGTTCCAACATCGAGGACTTCACGGCGACAGCACTAATAAAAAATGTGAACAAACTACCACTTCCGGCTGTGCTTAATAAATTTAGAGACTGCAGGATGCTAAGTGAAGACAGTGCTGGAGACGAGCTCGCTCGCCACAGGTGTTTTTGGCCTGCCACACGCTTCCGCTGGAAGGCACGGTGAGGCCCACGGAGGGAGCGAGGTGACACTTGCCTCTTAATGTGCTTGGCTAACGTCTTCTTGCTGGCGTGGAGCTTATCACAGCGAGGGCACCTGTGCTCCTTCTTAGGGACCTCTGTGTCAGCGCTGTGCTTCTTCCTGTGGACAGTCAGGTTAGACTTTGTGGAATAGCGCTGGTGACAGACATCACACTCAAAGGGCTTCTCACCTGTGTGCACACGTGTGTGGCTCTCATACTTCCCTACAAAAGCAGAGAAATTAAAATTAAATCCAGGGCATTTGCCACGTAGTGATTGAAATCTGACAGTAAGAGTGAGAGCTCGTGATTAACAGCCTGCTGTATATCCCCCACGCCACACACACACACACACACCCCTAGTCGAGTTTACCTGAATACATAACTTTGCTAAACCTCAGAGACTTACCGCTCTGAGCTTACTGCTTGAAATACACCTGTCCTCAAAAATGTGGGCCGCCACCTCCCTACCGTGTTCAAGGGATGCGGTCCAACCTGGACTTTACTGGGGGACAAGTGTTCTTGCGTGTCTCGAGGTGGAATCTGGGACTTCTCACAGGCATCGTAAATAACGAGTAGGTTTTATAAAACACGTTAAGCTACGTCACCGTTTAGCTCAGAGTTCTGCAAACCACAGGTCTTGAGTGTTCGTAAAATCAGTCCTCTGGGCTGTGACTGACGTGGGACAGAACGGAGTAGGACATGCCAGAGTACGTTCACACTGACTTCATGAAAGTTTTGCTTCGATGTACGTATGAACACATATTTGTTAAGATGTATATTACGTCAGGCATACGTGTGGGAAAACACAAGAAAAAACAAATCAAGAGTATATAGTCTGACTGTAAATACTAACTCGTAAGCGATTTTTGGAAATGGGGATCGACTGTATGTGTTTACCATAGACGCTCAAGACTGAGCGATAACTGGTCAACCCCGGATGCCTAAAGCTCTTGATTTTTATATCCAAGTGAACAGAACAGCAACTTAATAAAAATCTTAAAGTTCAAGAAAATTTTTCACCAAATCTTTTTTATTTTCTATGAAATGACTTTGCTGGAAAGATATCAAATTAACGATTAGTAGCATCCTCCCTTTATTTAAAGAAATTCTTCTTGCTTTCGAGTAAAAGTTAAGTTACGTGTAGTTGAACGGCATGACTATCGAAATGGCAGTGTAATTAAAAGTCGGAACCGCTTCGACTATTAAACTTCCATTTTCCCACAGACAGGTAGACTTAACATGACTTAACCGATAGCCAAGATTAAAAGGTAATAATTTAAAATAAATTCAGCAAAGTCCGATTAAAACACACGAGTTGGAAAAACGGATTATAACATTAAGAATCTCTAAAGTAAAATGGCTTTTTTTGTTGTTATTAGTTTGAGTTGGCGCACAGAGGCGTTGCAGGGTCTGAAGCTCCACGGAGCTGAGTCTCTGAACAATGGCAGACGCACAGCTTCCGAGGGAACGGGGGGACCTAAGAATCAGATACATCTCTAGGAGCGAGCGGGGAAAAAATGTTTACTCTCCAAAGAATTCCCATGTTCAAATCGATTGGTAGGGGGCTGTCTGTGATGGGTGCGGGGAGCGGGGGAGTGCTATTCAGCATAAACACACCCAACGGCTACATCTTCTTCTTTTTTTATGGGGTAGGAGAAATTCGATAACAATGTATAAATCAAAAGGTTCACTACGCACTCATGAAATAACGTTTCGATCAGAAAAAATAGTATCCCTTCAGAGACTACTAAACTAGGCCCAATCACTCCTAATCAACAACAGAAAGCATGTAATAGTAAGAAATTTCATCCACAGAATTTTTCTGAACTAAATCCCAATACGAATTGCGTCCCAAATCAGTAGACACACACTAAAGATATTTTTGTGTGAAAAACTTGACCTTGTGCTTAGGAATTTATTATTCCCCATACGAGTCATGCAAAATTATCATCATCAGATTTTGTATGCAGATCTTATAGAGAGAAACATCACCAAATTAGCTCATTATACATCTGATATTGCTAAATCTTAAATCAGATCTTGGATTTATTCATACGGTGACCCCTGAAATATACTTAACTAACATATTTAAGCTTAAAGCAGAAAACTGGGCCGCTGCTGTAACACCCCTCCGTTGAAAACCAAGTGGTCTTCAGGGTGGTCTCGTGAGCCATAATTTTTTAAAAAGCTACAGAACACTTTTTACTTCTAGGAGAGCTTATAAATTAATCCAAGGAAAGATTTCACTTCCCAGTAAGAACAATATAAAAAAATAAGTGAATCAAATCTTCCCTCGCCCCATCCATCATCTGCTCCCCATTTTTGCCTTCTCGCCACTAGGTTTTTGGTACAGGGGAGAAGCTCGGGGGACTCTTGTTTGTTTGCTTGAGAACGGGCTGGTGGCCCAAGGAAAAAATACAACTGGATAGGGAGCCTCCCTCCAAGCACCTATTAAATACTTCGGAACAGATGGAAGGTCCACAGTCACCGACCCACAGTGGCTGACTGCACACTGCGGAGCTGGCGGTTCCGGGCGACCCTCAGAGCTTCTCCATTCTCTCAGAAGCCCCCTCCCAGGCAGCGAAGTCAGAAGCTGACAGCGAAGCCCAACAGGCTTCTTACAAGTCCAAAGTCAAGTCAGGTACCTCGGTTCAATTAAACAAGAGCTTACTGAAGACTTAGTATTTGGCATTTCCTGGGGTATCGCAAAGGATGCTAACCCAAAGTAAGACACTGAACTTGAAGGCTCACAATCTAACTAATGATAAATAACCAAAACACCGAGGTGGACATTTTCAATCTTATGGCAGGCCTGTGGGTGATGTGAGGAGGGTTCCTGGAAAATGGCCCCTGGACTGGGGTTTTTTCTTGAAGATTTCTGACCAGAACGATCGAGGAGGACATTGAAGAAACACGTCTTCTCCTTCCACATGGTTTCATTCTACGTGGCGCCGCCCACGTGGCCCGCGTTCAGGGCAGCTGACTCTCCCGCCCGGCCCCCTCCCGCAGGCCCGCCCGACACCTCCTCGTCCTGGTCCAGGCCTGCGACATCCTTCCGGTCCCTTCCTCTCCTCTGTGACCTTTCCGCAACTGCGGTGGGCTGCCATTTCCTTGGTCGGCGCCTCTTCAGGGTCCCCTCACTTTCCGGGTGACATCTACACCCTTCCGCACAGCATGCAAAGCATTGGAAATGTGGTCTCTGGCTTCCGGCCAGCCCTTGCTTCTTGTCCGTTTCATGGCGCCTCCTTGCCCCCCTGGAAATCGCCCACCCGTGGCCATCTCAGAACACGACGTACACCCCAATGTCTCTGCACCTGCCGGGCCTTCCGCCTCGTAAACCCCTCCCTCTTCTTCAGGTCCCGCCTCACTTCTGCCTGCTCCGTGAACCCTCCCCTGATCCAGTCCGTCCTCCGTACTTATCCTGATAAGATTATCTTTATTGCAAATGTAACTGTGTGTTTACACGTACTCATTACATTCTCAGATTCTCGCGGACAGAGAGAACATGTCACTTCATGTTTGTTTAGCCGTATCTGGCGTATCAGAGACACTCAACTATACGAGGCTGAATAAGAACAGCTAGCGCTCCGTGGACGCCTGAATTTCACAAATCTTAAGTGATGCACGGGACTATTCCACGCGATCCTCACCGTAACCCGTGGGAGAAGGTACTATTAAACATCGCCTTGGCATCTCCCCACTCTGCCTATGGGGGGAAATAAGCACGAATGGCTAATTAACTTGCCCAAGATCTGGCTGCAAAAATGCAGGCAGTCAGACAGCCCACGCCCCGTGCTTTCTTAACGGGTATGAAGACATCTCAGCCGCCACCTTTAAGTACTGGGGAAAGGTATGCAGCCTCACTGAGGCTAAGCCACAGCAGGCTGAAAACAAGAGGGTATAAAGTCAAACACGTTCAGAAAATTGGGCTGGAAATAAGCCTACAACGGACCTATTCATTCCCACGTTATCCGGGCTGTCCTTGGTTTAAAAAGTTGCAAAATACCTTCCTCAGTATATAAGGACTCTAAGTTTGAGCAATCTTTCCCCAAATGTGTGCAAAGAACTCTAGTTTGTTGGCACATTAAAAGAAGTATCCCAAAAGTGTCCTGTGATAGAATTATTTGAGGGCATGGCAGGCTGAGTAGAGTTAACGAGTTTCTTTACTAGAGAACTGGACAGTTATTAGGATTGTGAATTATAGTAGATGGCTTTCCCAATCTTACCTGGACACAGAACCCCTCTCCCATAAAGCATCTCGCTGGCCTCATGTTCAACAGCATCGCTTGAGGTCTACGTGATGCCATTTGTCAGCTGGCCCCTTGCTCACTCATCTCAAGTCAAATTAGGTCAAGTTAAGGCAAACCCAGGAAGCATATGCTAAGGATACCAAGTCTAAGAAGCAGAATCTATTGGAAAAATGAAATGTTCTCAGGCATCTCAGTCAAAAAATGCCATCCTCTTTAATCCCGAGGGCTCGCCGACGGCTCTGCACGAGCATTTACCCGGCCTGCGTCTGAGAGGTTCGCCTGCACGCGATGCTCCTCCAACTGACTGAGATACTCAAGAAAAGTTGTCTCATTCATGTTTGTACAGAGCCTCCCAGCAAACGGAGTAGTAAATTATTAAACTAGATCGTCAAAAGCGTTCCGATTTGGAGTGAAAAATATTCAGAGGCACGACAAAAAGCAAACGGAGGTGACCTCTGTTAAGGCTATCATGGGTACGATCTCATTTTTGAGAGCAACTGATTTCCGATACCTCACAAAACCGATTTCCACCTATACCAACACCACAAGTGACTCGACACTGCAGTACACGTGAGGAGTCTCCGGCCACGCTGCCCTGAACGCGCCCGATCCCGTCTGCTCTCGAAAGCTAAGCAGGGTCGGGCCTGGTTAGTAGTATTTGGATGGGAGACCACCTAGGAAGACCAGGTGCTGTAGGCGTAAAAAAAAAAAAATAGAAAATAAGGGATTGCAAGCTGACAGGGTCCTTGCAATCTGTGAGGTCAACCAAGGATTGCCTCGCCTCAAAAAAAAAAAAAAAAACCACACACACATGAGGATACATCGAACTGAGTAAGCAATTTTCCAAGGTCAAACTGCAGTTAAAGGTCCCTTTATCATCACGTGTGGCAGGATATATTTCACGATTTCATAACTTTGATTCACGGGGAAAGAGCTTAATTGTTGCAATTTAAAAGTTCATGTGAGAGCAGATCATATATAAGACATCTCCAAAAGTCATTTTACCAGCAAAAATTAGATCTCTTGAAATCATATACTCGCTGACATGTTTTTAACTTGAGATGAAAGACCACATGTCCTACCCATACTTTTCTAATAGGAGAAAAGTTGATTTATTCATTATTATAATAATCAAAGAACACCTCCTAAAGTCTCCACCTACAAAGTTACATTAGTTTCATTCTCAACTACATAGTAGTCTAATCTGAAACATTTCCATTGTAATCTGAAACATCCCAATGGTAAACAGTACCAGACACTAGAAAAGTAACTATTTCTAACTCACATTACCACGTTCAAGGGCGAAGAGTATACAAATTATCCAACTGAATCTAATATAACCTAATTCAATTTCTTTGACCCCAAAATAGCACTTATCTGTTAGATTAAAATAGCATGTAAATCAAAGCTCTACATCCATAACCATCCATATGCTGGAATTTTTCGAAACGAATACATAAACTAATTATCTGTCACCTACTGTCGGGACGTGAGAAAGAGAAAAGCTAATACTTGAATTCATTCGTGAATCACAACGAATTTAAACCGACAGGCTAAAACACTGAAAATCAAATGTCCAGGCTAGTTAAGCATTCTTTTCAACATTCACTTCCGGAGTGTCGTTTTAAATGACCACCTGGACCGCGCCTGAAAACTCAAGTCCCTGGAGACAGAAAACGGGCTTCCTTTTCTTACCTATTCGGTCAAATGTCTTGTCACACTTGGGACACTGCAGGATTTTCTTGCTGCTGTTCTGCAGGACGACGGGGGTCAGGCCGCCGCGGAAGGGCCCCGCCGAGTCGCCGGCCTCGGCCTCGTCGCCCGCGTCGCGCGGCTCCTTGTCGCTCTGCTCCGCGGCGTCCGAGGACTCGTCCAGCTCGTCCTCCTCGGCGTTGTACTCGCTGCCCGCGTCCTCGGAGTCGATGCCCTCCGACTTCTCCTGCTCGAAACGCTCCTGGTTCAAACTGTCCGAGCCGTCGCCGCTGGCCTGATCCTCGTCGCTGGTGTCGTCGAACTTGACTGGGCACTTGCGATTCCTTTGTGACCTCCGCGTGGAAAAACTTCTCTCCAGCATTTTTAGCCCATGTTTCTTCCCCAGCAGGAGCGGCCGGTGCGTCTTCGCCAGGTGGTTCTCCAGGGACTTCTTGTAGCAGAAGTGCCGGCTGCAGAACCCGCACTGGTGCCGCGACACGAGTCCCCCCGCGGCCTCGGGCGGCGCCGCGCCCGTCAGCTCGGACTGCAGCGCCGCCGCGCTCTCGTTATTGAGCAGCTTGACCGCATCGATGATGTCCAGAAACTTGGCGGCCTCTAGAACCAGCGGGATTTCGTACTTGTACACGAAGAACTCCGACGTGTAGAGAAACTCGAGCAGGTGCTGGAACACGGAGTGCGGGACGTGGTCCAGGGTGACGACATCCGTGCCGGGGTTCTTGCTCAGGCACGCGTGGAAGTAGCTGCTGCCCACGGCCACCACCACTTTGTGCGCGCTGAACTCGCGGCCCTCGACGACGATCAGCAGGTCGCAGAAGGACGGCTGCTTCTGCCTGTCGTCGTTCAGGTACTTGAGCAGGTTCCTGTTGTACTGCAGGGAGCTCAGCAGCCG